CTGAAATCGTCAAGGTTTAGTCTGCTCCCAACGTCAAAAACTCAAGTTCAATCCAAGATAAAAGGTGGTTCTCATTTTAATACTATCCATATATCATATAAGGAGTTGTACGAAAAGCTATTTGAAGCGTCAGAAGCTGCTCCGCATTATGTGAAACCCTGGGAACCTCTGTATCTAAATTGGTATGACATCAGTGTTCATTGTGAATATCATACCGGAGCTCAATGACATTCCATTGAGAATTGTATTACCTTCAAACATTGAGTCAAATGTCTTTTGGATCATGGAATCTTAGAGTTTATGATAAATGATCGGCCTAGTTTGGTAACTGAAGGTCCTGCTATGTTAATACCAAAAGTGTTCAAAGGTAAGAATATCAGTAGGGGTGTCCAGAAGGAAGAAGATTTACTGATGAACGAGGCTCAAATACGTCATTTAAAGGATGAAAACAAGAAATTGAGTACAAAGATGAAAACCATGAGTGAGGATTTCCAAAAGATCAGTAAAGCCTTTCAAAATGCTGACATAAGATACACCCAGAAGAATGGACAAAAGGGGTTATTAAGTTGAAAAATGATGTCGAGCAATGGAATATAAATGTCATGATATATGAAGGTCGAGCTAAGAAGTTTTATCATGGTTTATGGGTTGAAGAAGAAATGCACAATACAACCATCATCAATTTGGAAAAATATCTAGCTAAAAATCAAATGTAAAGAAGGGTCATAGCCAACATGAAAGCATCATATCAGATCCATCAGCATGAGAATGATACAGAATTAAAAGCCACTAGAGTTAAGTACAATACGTTGATGAAGATGGTAGATGATTATGGAGATCTTGTACAAGAACTTCTTGAACACAAAGGTTCTCTTACAAGGGAGAATGAGCAACATTGTATATAACTCCGAGTGATGGCATGTAAGATACAAGAAAATGATAATTTCATGGAATAAGCTGCTGCCTAAGCAAACAATGTGGCTCATAAGCTGGTAGACTTAGCTGGCTTTACAAGGGAATTGAAGCAGATTGACAACTCAACTCTTGAGAAAGAATGTAAATTAACTTGGCTTTTTAAGGAGATAAAGAAGCTAGGAGTGAAAGCTATCCCTTATGTGTAAAGTTTTGTTTGATGTATCGAAACTTCCGTGTTCAATGAAAGCTGTTTTAATATGATCACTCTTGATTAACACCCTTTTCGTACATGCATTTGCATTGCATAATTTGCATTCTTATTTTTGCATTTTTCTATTTTTCTCATAATTACACTGAGATGGAAGAAATATTGCATATTGCCATGAAAGTACTTAAGAAACTTAAACAAAAGGGGGCTACACGTTCATATGGGAGTGCAACATTAAAATGGGGGCATAATTCTTAAAAGAGGAATCCTCCATTACCATCCAACGAAAGTAGTTACCACCCAAAGGAAGCAAGACCATTACTAAAACCAGTAAGGGTAAGAGTATGGCCGTTCCTAGTTGATCCCGAGAGATCCAAAGTTTCTTGTGTTTGGGGTGAGGACTTGTTGCAAGTCAATGTCCAAACCGTAACACCATACTTCTTCGAGATGATGGAGAAGTCAAGATGGATCATGAGGAAAATAAGAATGAAGATGTTGTTATTCAAGAAGATGAAGAAGAGTTAGAGCAGGTTGTGGAAGGAAAGGCTCTTATCATGAACAAGAGTCTAAGCATATAATCAATGAAGGAAATGAACAATGCGAGAACATCTTTCACACTCGCTGACACAAAGGAGGAAATGTATGTTTTGTCCTTTTAGATGGCAGTGAACTAATGTTGGTAGTACTTTGATGGTAGATAAACTTGGTCAGCAACAACAAATTATCCATAACCCTACAAGTTACAGTGGCTCAATGAAGAAGGTGAACTCAAAGTGACCAAGCAAGTCATTATTGCTTTCTCTGTTGAAAATTATAAGGGTAAAGTTCTTTGCGATGTTATTTCGAAGCATATCAGCCATTTACTACTTGAGAGCCTTGGTAGTTCGATAGGCGTGTTGTACATGACGGGTATACCAGCTGGTATAGATTCACACATTAGGCGATGACAATTACTTGAACGTCACTTTCACCAAACCAAGTTCATAAAGACCAAATCTATCTAAGAGAAAGTTTCGATAAAGCCAACGAGAGAGAAACCAAAATGTATGTGATAACTCTCGAAAAGAGTTATCTTTTTATTATATTTTTACCTAGGGTCATATTAGGATCATTATTTAGGATCATTTTAGGATCATTTTTTATATTTATCATTATTTACATCAAATGAGTTATTTGATGGAATTTGGGTTGATTTTAATGTTTTATGTTATAAACTGGTACACTGATGTTGCAACATTTGCAAGGGATGCTGAGTGGATGCTAAGAGGTAACAGATGAATCAATAGACAATTATGGTTTTTTTTTTTGGATTTGAATAGCTTATCAGTACAGCTGCATGATGCCTAAAAAATATAGGAAAAATCATAATTTTCTTATTAAAGGATACATTGACTTGTTGAACTTAAATAAGGTATCCATTCATATTTTTGAGACTTCTTCTTCAATTTTTCTTCATATTCTTTTTTAGTTTCTTCTTATCTCCACTTGCCATGGAGGTTTGATTCTGATGCGGAGTACTGCACGAGCCTGCAAGCTTATTGACCAGTATCGTCGATCAAGAAGAATCCTTCCCTATTATTGCCTTCGTTAGAGATAAGTAAGTAACAAGCATACCTAGTTGTAATTAATTTTTGTGGATGATGCATTGTGTTGAACTTAGCCATTCGTGAATGCTTTAATTATGTTTTATGTTTTTTACTATTTTCTATGCATTGATATGCTTTCAAGGTAGTTAAAGAGATATAATTATCTTTATGGATATTTTTTGATGATGTTTAGAGATGATACATTATGTTGATATGATTGATGGGGTCACTAGGGAATCCTAATGCTTAACTTTTAGAATCGTTTTAACTTATATGGATCACTTTCTCGATATAGTTCAATTAGAGTGTCCCTACGCTATCTCAAGGCATGGAACTTGATAGATAAGAATGCCACGACAAATCCTCTAGACCTGATGCATCAACATCTAATCTATTGAATCATCTCAACTCCTATTAGTTGTTGAAATCATGCCTTATTTTCTCTCAAACACTAATGTTGGATTAGGCTCTAGTCATTTTATAAAATCCATTGTTCACGTTGATATTTCCCTAGTTTCTATCGAACACTAAGGATCTTTAACTTAATTTTTCTAAAAAACTAAGTAATATAATCAAGAAATGGACACTCTCATGCCTCCTACAATCTTAAGTAATTCGAAAGAATGAACAAAACAAGTGATAAACATAAAAGCATCAACCATTCATTAAGGAAAAACACTTAATCATCCATAAAAAACCCACACCAAATACGGTTTAGTTCATTGTGGGGTTTAAAATATCCAAAAGAATAATTCGTTCCATACAACTCAAGTAATCAAATGAAAATAAAATCATATGAGTGGAGGAAACTCCCAACTAGCGCTGCCAATTGCTCATCGGACCACCACGAATGACACCTTAGCGACAACAGTTCCTCTCGAACACCTAGCTTGCGACTCCCATTAGATTGGATATGGAGGTTACCACCAAGAAGATGAAAAGGAAAACAAAATGGAAATTTTTAGGCCCTCTTTTCACTATCCCCTACCTCACTTTTTCTCCAAAAGATTTTTCTTTTTCGTGGAAACATTTTCTATTTATACTAGAGGAATATCCTAGGGTTATGTGCCAAAATTCCATTAGTACCCTATGGTACATTCCCCTCATGGGAAAGGTAGTAAAAAGGTGTCAGTGGTCCCCAACAAGGTGGTTAAAAATAGAAAACATGTGATAAAAATGATAGTTGTCCTAGTGTGAAGACATCTTCAACTTCTTTGTCATTTTTTGTGCCCAGAAATGCCATGGCATGTTTCTTTTCACTTCGCCAGGGCAAGTTTCTTCGTATACCCTTGCACCTAAAACATACACATCAACATCCAAACCATACATTCCCCATAAAATAACATAATTTACAAAATAATTTGTCATTGCAAGTTCAAAGCACTAAATGCAATTATATACTCCTAAATGTGTTAATATGAACCTATATGTGCTTTAAGATAACCAATAACTTAAGTGAAAAGGCCCTAAATATATCCTTTATAGGAAGTTATCCATATGAATTCCACTTCTTTTGGTAATGGCCTTGCATGCTCTTTACCATTTTTTTAGGACTCTCAGTATAGCTAGGTAGTGATCCTGGTAATAGACTATTAAGAGCATTAGCCATTTTCCCACCTGATTCTTTATAGCCCCTAATAGGGCAGATTGGCTCGCCATGTATTCTTTCATCATGGATTTAGAAGGTGTTAAGGTTGAAGTTCATTTTAAAGATTGACCTTGATAATTTTGCCTTTGTTGTGGTTGAGTAACAAGTTCATGTGCCTGGGTTGTGGCATTTGACTATGTTGAGTATAATGTTGATGTTTATATTGTTGATTCAGACTTTTCTAAGATAGATTACGATCATTTATTAAATTTGGATTGTATGTATTACCGAACACATTATCATTCATTTGATAATTCCACACATATGAAATAAACTCCAGATTTTGGGGGCATTCAACAAAGTTATAGTCACCACCACAATATATACACAACTAATAAGAGATGCGACTTTGACTTCATACGTTTCTCCTGGTTTCTGCAATTTATTCACAATTTTAGTCAATGCTAAAATATGAGAATCCATAGAGTTAAAAGCTTCAAAGTCTACTACTAAAGCACCACGTCGACCAAACGTATTGTGTGTATTTGGATATTGACAACTGTTGGTGGAGATTATTTCGAGGATATCATATGCTTTATTATATGTCTTATCTAGAAAAGCTCTGTTTGCTAAGGCATCAACCACCATATGAGTGTGTATTTTTAACCCATTATAAAACATCTCCATTTGAGTCCAATGTGGGAACCCATGCATAGGACACTTCCGTAACAAATCTTTAAATTTTTCCCATGCTTCATACAAGCTTTCATCATTCATTTACTTGAAAGAAGTTAAACTATTTCGAAGCTTAACATTCTTATTTAATAGATTAAATCACATTAAGAGTTTCTGTGCTAATTCATTCCATGATGCTACAACACCTGACGGGAGTGAAATTAACGAAAACCTTGCTTTACTATACAATTAATAGGGAAATGGCTTCATCTTCCTGGCCTCATCCGGAACACCTTGCTGAATAAAAGAATCACAAACCTCCATAAAAATTCTAAAATTGGATGATTACGAAGAGGGTGATTATCATCTACATTTTGATATAGTTTCCCAGCTCTAATACCAGTTTATAACTCCTCATGGTCTCCATTCTGCAGCGGGCTAAAATACCATTCCCTCATTTAACCACAGTAGCTTTACGGTGACATCTCCTAAAAGTCCTTTCTATTTATGGATCAAATGGCTCTACTTCTCCGTCACTTCAGGACATACACTAGTGAAAACAAAAAACAACACCTTCAAAAGAAAAAACAAACAAGTGAAAACAAGAGAACTATAAATCAAACTGATGCTCTTGTCAATAGCGCTAAAAACTTTATGCTACAAAAATGATATAGTAGTCACACAATTGCACGTATCGCAAATAAAGTAATAAAGTGGAAATTAAGAGAGTTTTGGATGTCGAACCCACAGGGAGCAGAGTGTGGTCATTAGAATTTTTAATGGTAAGATTTATTAAAGAACTGAGATGCAAGAGAGAAAGTATTGTAATCAATAACGAAATATACCAGTTCATGCTACAGCGTTCCAGTAAGCAATTGGTCATCTATCGAATAAAGGATATGATATTATGACTTCCAAATTTTGTGCAAACATTGTATACCTAATCTATGTAATCAATATTGATTAAAACTATTTGAACTAATTTAATTACTATCATTAATTAAATGCTCAAACTATTAACAATACTAATCAATCGGCTAAACACTTTTCAGTGTACTTAAGCTACTCAGCTATACCAATGCTCACAAATGTATATAGCAAATCGAATGAAACTATTTCTGGTTTAAAAGGAAATACTATATGCCTAATTACAAATAATTCTACTTAGAACCATGAAGTTCAAAGCTCATAAACTAATTATCAAAGTGAACACAAAAATAAATAAAAAATTTAAAATAAACATCAAACAATAGTTTACTTATTCTAGTCACCCCCTATCTCAATAGAAGGCATTTAACGGTGATCCAATGACTGTTAAAGATCCTTAGCAAGCTTCCCTTGTGATGTAGCAAACCCTATTAGAGGACTTAGGCTTCCATGGCTTGAAAAGAAATGACGTGGAAAATGGTACTTTGGATCTCTCACAATTGTCACACTTTTTCAACCCAAGTAGTCCCCTTTTATAGCTTGGATGAAATTTCATCACACAATATGAAAGGTTCACGTTTCAAGTGTTATACAACCAAATGATAGTTTTATGAGCCTCCTGTCCCAATCTAGATTGTTTTACCAATTATCTGGAACTTATATGACTGCTACAACATCTAGTCAACATTTCCTGCAGTGCTACTACATCAGTGCAATAATTTGCAGCAGCAAAACTTACTTTTAGCCCTTAGAAACCCATTATGCTCCTACCATGCAAAATATGTAAAATTAAGAAATTTTAATCCTAACATAATCCTGAATAGTTTTAGGTTCAAACTAACTTAGGTAATTAAGACTACTAAAGATAAATCCTTTAGATAAATATTCAGGGCATTTAAAGGTGAATTATTTTTCAAATTCAAGGGCTGCTCAGACGGTCTTCTTTATTCATGCAATCAAGGCAACTTTAATCACACATTCATGACATTTAAGGCTGAATTATCATCCATTTTCAAGGGTTGTTCATATTCTTCATTGAATTATTGCATTTAAGGCTATATTTATCCTCTTTGAAGGATATTCACATTTTGACAAAGGATATACAATGAAGGCTGGTTTTATTTCACTTATTACCACAATTAAGTGATGAAAATCAGCATGGAATAGGAAAGGACACACTAAGGTTGACTGCAAGGGTGTCTACATTTATCAAAAGTCCATATTATTCCCCTTTTATTTAATATGAAAGCAAGAAATGTAATATCAAGCCTCCCTCCTTTTGGACGAAAATAAGGCTATATACGTCTCAAATTAAGTCCAAATTAATCAATTTCCATCTAGAATATTCAACAACCAAGGGATAAGAAGAGAAGCAAGTCATTTAAGTGTATTCAACTGAATTTAGATAAATATTCATTCCTTTTTTGTAAAACCTTTTATATGATGCCTATCAATACTATAAACAGGCACCCTAGGTTCATTATAAATCAACTTTGGGCATATAAACAACTTTTTGAAAGTTTGCTTTCAATTTAGTTCTTTTGAAGAACTGTATCGGCTCAAGTTCATCTTGTTGTCTTCAACCATTCCATTTGTTATATCATTGGTTCCTAGATGTTTTATAGTAGTGGGTCGTATTCCACATCCTACCCCTTCACTTCTACCTTATTATATTGTTGGTTCCTAACTCTTATATAGTTAGAGGATCACAATCAATTATTGATTATTCATCCTAGTTCATGCCATACCCCATTCATCTTTCACCAGTTTCCTTTATTTTATCTAACCACAACAACCAACACTTTTCCATCATCCACAAACCACTTCATCATAATCTTCTTCCTATCATTTTCAACCTTTAAATATATATTTCATACTTATAACGTTGATTGTGCTATTTCAGAATTATATCAAAAGCACTATAGAGTTTGTTACTAGAATCACTATCAGGCAACAACATATATGACTCGGATCATACAATCGGGCTCATATCAAACATAAACCCATTTTTTACCAGCTCAAAACCCAAGAGGTAAGAACCAAAGGACATTGCATGAAATCCACGATTATGTCAAGTGGAGGAGAAAACTGTTGTTGTACGAAATATGTTGTTGTTTCCATGTAAGCTAGAAAATGACATATTTTTTGCCTCTTCCTACAAAATAAACCTCTTTTGGGAAGGATTTTCTTGAAAACCCTAGCTAATAAAGGACAAATAAAGTACTTTTTTTTCTGTTGAACTACTCCGCTGGGAGAGGAAATTTTGACCAACTCAAGCTACATACCACGCTGAAATTCTTTTTCGTCCATCATGAAGAATACCCTTGTGGAGTTTTCCTTTCTACTCTATTTATGGGTGGACATTTCCTTACTAATAAAATTGAACCCCATTATGCTTAGTTTATTTGTAGATTCTAATGGACTTCAGTTTCTTTCTTTTCATATACTGCTACTTTCCTTGACCTCTCTCTATCCTTCTTCCACGACGAGATCAAAGCATGAGAACCTGAAAAGGTATAGAAAACAATGCATTAGATCAGTATTGAATACTTACCATGTTTGGGTTCAGAAGCAGGCATCCGTATGTAGGGTGATTATTTCCTAATGCCCTTATCTATGTATTGGTTAGTAGAATGGTTACGATTTTTTAGTAAAATGAGGTGGAGTAAATCGAAAGTTTTCATTAATGTCAAAACTCTTGTAAGAGGATTGTAAGGACCTAGGGTGGCTGTATAACCAAGAGCAACAGTCGTAAAAATCCCAAAAATCAGTTCCAAAATGAGGAAAATTCTTAATTGCGAGAGTGCTAAACCAAGAACTATAAAAAACTTGATGAAAAAAGAGATCTTTCACCTAGATTAACGAAAAACATGCATGACCATAGACTATCTTGCAAGCAAACTAGTATTTTAAATGACCAATGGAAATGCCAACAGGAAAACAAAGACCAAAACACAAAGAAAAGGGAGGGGATTTTCTCTCACTAGAACCCATGGATAAAATTATGTTGTTTCTTGGTGAGCTATGTTGGGGTCATGTTTTATTCGATAGGTGCATCAAATTTCAGTTGTCTGGTCTTTTTTGTTTCTAATGGTTTATACAATGGGGTTCATTAAGTTTGTGCATAAATATATTTGAATTGTTGATATGGGTGGGTTTTCAGAATTATGTGAGATATTTTATTTCTTTTTTTTAAATAGGTTATGTGAACATGGAGTTATGTGATCATGGCTGGAGTTATCTTATTCATCTTTTATGGAGTTTTAATATGATTAGATGAGTGTGATAAGGTGAATCATTAGAGAATTGAGATTTTCATTATCCTTCACAATGGCTGTAGACTTCTTTTAAAGTATGGGTAATCATATTTTTTTACTTTGAAATAATTAATTCTTATGTTGGAGTTTGTCTGGTCCTATGTGTCCCTGTAATGAATCTTTTATTTGATGCATTTTAGAGGATAATAATGTTTGGAATATTGATATTCTATTGATCATTTATTATTCTTAGGTCATGTGATTATTTTAATTTCTCATTCAGATGAGCGTTCTAAATTGATATTATTTGCTTGTTAATTTTCGATCTTATAGATTTATTGCTCCTAATTTGGTTGTTTTATGTTTTTTTCGTGCAGGATCTAACTTTCAATAATTAGTGGTAAAAAGGGCACATTCTGTATTTTTTTATTATTTGGTCATGGTTAGAGACATGGGCACGACTCTAGGCATGACACAGTCTAACGTGAGAGTTTCTAGAAGGTCCAGTCTGTAATAGTTTTCTAGAAAATCTAGCCAGCACCTTCTGGAATGTGGACGGGTAGAGATATCTTAGGAGACTTATTTTTAAATTTTAAAGTTTGAATTTAGAAAATATTTGCAATTATCTTTAGGATTTTTTTTATTTTAATTTCGATGTTCATCTCTAGGTTTTTATAGGCTATAAATTCCCTTTTGGGGTAAGCCTAAGGACACAACTCAGATTTCAATCTTTTTCTTACTTCTAGTTTTATATAGTTCTTTCTTCTCTTCTCTTTTCAAGTTTTCATTTTTATTTTATTTTTTGAAATGCCAACTATGGTTTCTATCATACTTAACTAAGTTTTCCATAGCCAAAGGATAAAGAGATGAATCAATTCTGAATCGTGAGAATAGAAAAGCACCTCATACCCTCTCGGGTCAAATTCTCAATTTTCTTGAAATAGATTGACA